CTCTCTCTCTCTCTCTCTCTCTCTCTCACACACACACACACACACACACACACACAAACACATACAGATGCTCACTTTTGAAAAAAGCAAGCGGAGTTACTACAAACAGCACCCCCCACAAATTTGTTGTATAGAAAGAACTTCTTAAGAAATTGAAGTTACTTTTTTTAAGTTTAACAGTTTGAAAAATATATTTTAAAGGAGACATAGCTTTTACTAAATTAAAATCTTATTTGAATAAAATGTAGAGATCTGTAGAAACAGATGTTAAAATTTGAACTCCTCAGTGCAAAAACCCGCTTTGGCCACTAAAAGGTGCATGGTGCCCCCCCCCCCCCCCCAAAACTGAGTCAGCCCCCATCAGGAACTAGACCAAACCTCAGCATGGGTTCCCAATCAGCCGTGGTTTTCCATGGCCACTTGTGCTTCATGATGAACCATTGTGGCTTGTTTCATTGTGTCTTTTGCAGCGACAGCAGGTTTCAGCTGGCGGATACACATTGTCGTACAAACTTCAAAATTCCTTCTTGCTTCCTGGGGACTCCCCTGGGACCCACCAGCCTCCACGGTCACTCCACTCTGGAAAAACCCGGGACCCCCGCAGTGACCTAGGTTAGGAGGCAGTCCTTACAGTTGACTAACAAGTTACCTTGCAAAGGAAAATGATGCCATCAGGAAGGAAGGACTGGGGTAAGCGTGGCCACTGAACCACCCATAAATCAGCCAGGAACGACTGATGAACCCCATGGACCTCCGCCTCCTTACGATTGTATCCTGCTTTCCCACCTTCTTCTCCTTCTCCCTCTGGCCCAAAACACAGCGGTGGCGAGTAGAAGGAGCAGGCGAGCCCATGGCCAGCTCACGGACTTGTTGATTGCCAGTTAAGCATGGCAAGCAGTAGCCATGAGGAAGGAGAATGACAAGCGAAAGCAGAGCTTAGAAGGCAAATTCAATGAGGAGGAGGCCCAGTGGAGGCGGTCGCACCTAAGGGTCTCCAAGCCTTGATGCAACCTCAGTGCAGGCGGTGTGCAAAGCTTGTTGCAGAAGTTCAACAAAGCCAGCATTGTTGTAGAGATCATTCTCTCCCCAGCCTCTCATTCTCTCTCTGTCATATGTCATCGTTATCAATTTATTTCCATTACGTTAACATCTTGAACTTTTCTTCCACTTGCTTTAGAAATCCAGACATAAATGTTTTAACTGTTGAGTCCCTCTGAGGGCAGGGCTCTTGTGCTGAAGAAACATCACACAAACTTAGTAAGGAAGTCCAAGGCCATGACATAGAAACATAGAAAACAGATTGAGTCAGAAGCCTCCTCCAGGGCCATCTAGTCTGATCCCCAGCACCAGCCGGCTCTGCTCACGACATGCCCACCATGTGCACGTCCAGCCTGTCCTTGAACACCCGCACCGATGGGGCCTCAACGACCTCCCGTGGAAGCCCATTCCACACCCTCGGGGTCCTGACTGTCAGGAAGTGCTTCCTGGCATCCAAATGGAACCTTGGCTCCCTGAGCTTGGCTCCGTTGGAGCACGTTCTGCCTTCCTCTGCAGGGGAGAACAGGCCTCTACCCACCTCCATGTGACACCCCCTCATATACCTGTATGTCGCCAACATACCCCCTCCGAGACTCCTCTTGTCCAGGCTGAAGCATAGGTATGTGAGGGGATAGTGTAGCATGCCCAACCTGTTCTAGCCAGAATAGTATCTGTGGGCCTTGGTGGAGACCTTACATAAACCTTCTGGTGTGCTTCAGGTATTTAGGACTTCAGTTCCCAGCAGAAACTGCCAATGTGGCCATTTGGCAGGAGTGCTAGGACATGTATTCCAAAATAGCTGGACGGCACCAGAATGGAGATACGGTTTCAGTTTTCATTAAAACAACCCAAGTTATATTTCTATCCAATACAACTAGGAAAAAAGAACAAGACCACCATATCACTGGGTTATTTTCAGCCTTTCAGGAGGCATTTACTCAATGTATTTGTTTGCTATTTATAAGTACATATAAACCACTGACATCTACAGATCTCAGAGCAACACACAGCGAAAACACAGCTAAAAAGTGAAAAAACGAAGCACACAGCTAAAAAGCGAAACAAAGTCAAGCAAAGCATGCACACCTACGGATAGAAAGCTAATACATGGAATTCATAAAATATATGTCCGCAATAATAAAATACATGCATGGTGAAAATATACCAGGAAGACTTCCATAAAGGGGTGTGCCATTAACCTGTGCCGAAAGGAAGAATTGTTGGCTACATGGGAGGTCATTCTGTGACATGGGGACCGCTGTTGATTTATGGAGGGATGTGGAGGCTTGTGTTCCATACTGATACCATAAAATTTGGTCGAGCAGGCCACATCAGGGGCTCTACCAATACAGAGCAAAGGGACTATTCTGGTGCAATGAATTGGGACACTTTTTGGTCCACAAACTAAAGTTCAGTGTTTGGGCAATCCAAGCCAAACCATGACAAACCATTCTGGTGAGGGACGTACTGGTGTGCTACCATAGCTACAACTGTCAGGGGACTCAGGCCTTGTAGGAGGTCTCTTGCCGCCTAATGCAGAAGGACTCCTGCTACCACCATGAGACCCTTCTTCTCACCTCTACCAAACCTTGCAGGGCAAGTCTCCTCCCTCCCTCCCTCCCTGCCTCCAACTCAGTGCAATCTTCACTTACTTCCTCCCCGGGGCCTCCAGCCCCAACCTGGAGAACCCCCATGGGGCAGCAATGGGAAGGCTCTCTGGTCTGGGGTTGATGGCAGTGGGAAGGGAGGGTTCAGATGTGGCTTCTGGCTCTCATGGCCAAGACATCACAAGGTGATTCTCACAAGAATCCCCACAGTAACAGCCAGATTCAAACGGCCCTGGTAGCTACCTTCTCCTTTTGGCAAGGACCATGGGGAGGGACCAACTGGAAATTTTCTAAGTAAATAATAAGGTCCTTCTAGATCACCCACTGCAGGTGGCAGTCTGATGTCCCGGCTGGGGCTGGTCTGGGGGCAGGGGAAGAGCACTGCCTCAAGCAGGTATCTCACCCTCACATCCAAATGATGGACCAGGCAGGCTGGTACTCCATCTCTACTCACCTTCAAGTTGCCACCTTGGGCCATCTTAGCTCCCATGGAGACACATCACCCGGATAGAGGTAAATATTAGCAATTGGCTTGAATTCAGTTTAGATCAGGATTTAACCAGCTCCCATTTTGCAGAGCAACCATGGGTTTAGTGTCAATCTCCAAATCTGTATATTTCCAAGACTGCAATGGGATTCTTGTGCCAAAAAAGGAGGGGGATCATTTCAACAGCATTGAAGAATGCATGCTTTTGAAAAAAGGCTACATGCATTCCTTAACCAATAAGAGACAAATGTGTAAATTTCAAAGATGCACCAGAATTGATGTGTCTTTCTGGAATAAAAGATGTACAAGAAGAACACACAAATGTTCATATGAAAAGAAGAACAACAAGCCACACAAGCAGAAATGAATAAGCTTCAGGATGAAATTCCAGCTTAGGCAAGTTTGCATTTTGCTGGTTTGAACATCCCTGCTTTAGCATTACAGACTAGGAAAGGCTGTTTTTCCAGTTCAAAGATATTGTTCAGGCATTGCTGTGGGCCTTACACAGAGAAATCTGATAGTAGACCCGTAAAAGCAACAGTTAAATAGGTGCTGTCAACACCCATTTGATTTATGATGATTGCTGGGCATAAATTATTTTCCGACACATCCCTCTTTGGCAAACTTCTTTTGGAACTTGCCCTGACACCTTCATTGCAAAGCTTCTTTTCCAGCTGTTCACATTTGGACTTCCTTGAAATACCTTCCTGGTTTAGTTGAAACACTCCCATCAAGCAATTTACCACTTGGACAGGGCTGTGCTCTCCGTCCTAATCAGCCCATGTCAAGCTGACCCAGGTGGAGTGGCTGTGTCAAACACAAAATGTCAGGGGACTGGGATGCTTCTAATGACACAACCATGTAATTACCTGGTTGACCTGGGTTATCTCGACCGAGGATGCTCAAAATGTTCATGCAGTAATGTCCTAAGGGCAAATTATACATCCAAGCTGCCAGCGGTAACTACTTCTAATTCTAATTGCCAACCCATAGTATGGATGCTCCACATGCTCCAGCCTTTCCATTTAATTTCCCTTCATCGGTTCCTCCAGGACAACTGTACATTGTCATATGAAGAAAGCCCCCACCCTAAAGCTGAACACTTCCATCCCCTCCATTGTGTTGACTGCAGGTGAATGCAGTACGTTCATACTGAGAACAGACCCGTTAAGTTACATTAATTTTAGTGGGTAAAATTACTCATTTTACCAAGTAAAATTGCTCATTGTATTCTCATACTTTGACAAAATTTGGATCCAAGGAAAACACATGAAAAAAGGAAAAAGTGAACTAGCACAAGTTTCATTTGGGGTCATTTTGTTACCCCAGCACCTCTTGCAAGGAAAATGCTGTCTATGCAAGCCTTTCTTCTGACTGAATTCCCCCCTAAAAGATTTGACATAAAAACCTGGATGACATAAAAAGAGGTAAAATGGTTTTTACCTCTCAGCAAGTCCAGGTAATTTAATATTTAATCTTACATATGCAAAATGGAAAAAAATGCAGAGCTGTGCTTAGCCCATTGACTTTTTTCTTCCTGCATAGAAATAGTTTGGCCTACTAACTTAAAAAAAATCATAGCAAAGCTTTCCCTCAATGAATTTTAATTCTGTTTGCCAAAGAACTTAGCTAAGGACCTCAGCTTGTAAAAGTTCCCTGCACAAGTGTTCCTATGGATCTGCTGGGGTATTTTTGTGGTCCAGGCATGTTTTGGTTAATAATAAAGTAAAATAATGGGGTTTTTTTTAAACTGAAGTAAGCTGATTATACTCTTTGGAACAGTATCCCAGAAGGTCCCATCAGTAGGGCTACTTATGTATAAACTACAATCCAGAATGGGAGCTAAGGGGACCCTCCAAGGCAGGGTGAGGATTCAAGAGTAGCAGATAATGGCAACAATGGTCTGAGATCTCCAGCACTCAGAACTGGCTATATCACACAGGGATCCAAAGCTTTCAAGCAATGGCTATGTTATCCATGGCTGCCTGGAGTACAGATAGTTTGTGCCTTCTGCTTACAAGTTCTTGTCTTTTCATTCTGCTGTTTGGAGAGTGCTGGGCACCACTGGGAATTTCAATAGTTTGCTCATACAAAAATCATAAAACCAGACTGGGAAATAGGAGAAAAGGAAGATGCATTTGTATGCATTCTTGCCTGGTGTGTACAAAGCACGTGGATACTTTGCTAGTAATGCATGTAAAACATCACGTTGCATTGGCGAGAAGTCTGATGAGGATACAGAATGTATGAAAGGGAGAGTTGTTTTCAGTGCAAGGATGTAATCTTCTCCATAATCTTTCTTCACATCTGGGGTGAGGTTCTCCAGAAGGATCTGTTCTTCCCGCATCCAAAGCGCAGGTGTTCCCTGAATAGCTGGAAGATTAACCAGTCAAATCATAAATATCTGAACTTCTTAATTGGGCATTTGAGGCTTCCAAGCAGCATCTTCCCCTTATACTGAGACACAGCTTTTGACGTTCTACCTTTTGGGTTCAGTGGGTACAGCCCAGCTCAGAACTCAAAAGGAGAACCCAACTGAGAATTCCACACCTACTGAAATTGCAACTTCGCGTACAAAAGAGGGCAGGGGAATGAAAAAAGGAGTTGTGATAAGAGGAGGAAGGGAGAAGCGTGGATCTGCTAGATCCAGCCCAGAAGCCTTCCATCTAAAGAGGCCCTGTCCTTTTGGAGTGCTTTTTTAATATAGTCTGAATGAGCTGCACATGATAGGCCAACCACATAGCCACATTGCCCCCAGAACATCTCCATGCTCAAATGGTTCAAAGATGCCCCAAACAGACTATAATCAAACTCTGGAAATGACCGTGTGAACAGGCTGCGCTGTTAAAATCAGATCAGTGGAGTTTTTCTGAGAACTTCCCTCAAGGAAAGCTTCCTTAGCAAAGGTTGTGTATTTGTGCTGTACAGAAAATTTCTGACACACTCAAGTTGATAGAAAAGTAACTTTTTGAAAAGGAGGAAGTTTTGGAGACGTTCTCATGGGTTTGGGAGGTGTCTTGTGTTTCCCTTACTTCGGGTGCCAAGGAAAAAGTGTGAGGGTTTCACCTTTTGTTGTGCAATCATTCTCCCAGCATGCTGTAGCTGCTTGGCTTACCACATGGCCATCAAAACCCAGGAGAAGACTCTGTTTGTTATGTAGATTTATATCTGTTAGATTTATATCTTGCTTCTTCTTTAAAAAAATAATTCAAAGTGCCTTACATCATTCTCCTCCTGCACAATCTTATCCTCACAGCAAAAACCCTGTGGGGTAGGTTGGGCTGAGAGTCTATGACTGGCCCAGAGTCACCCCACTGGTCCCCACACAGGCCTCGCAAACAACGAGGTGAGGCATGGCAATTTACCTGTTTTGAAGGCAGACGGTTGAATGACAGAGACTCTGATGCCCCATTTCGAGAGCTCCTGCCTCAAGACGCCAGAAAACATGGACAGTGCTGCTTTCGATGCTCCATAGGCAGCCATGCCTGGCATTGGGACCCCGCCTGTGGGAGCCATGGAAAGAAGCTCTTGAGAGGATTGCTTTGAGTGACTTGACGAAGTGAGCGGTTTGCAAGGAAGAAAGCTGAGCTGAATTGCCGTGCGGAAGCTTCGTACAAGGCACGGAAAGAGCCCCTCTTCACCCACGCTTCTTCCATATCAGCCCCATTCCCCAGTGGCCCACCCTGGGAAAGCTGCAAATTTCTAAAATTTCCACCAGGGTAGACATTGGAAAGTTACCATTGCCAAAGACCTCACTCCTGGCTTCATTCCTTTTGCTTTGCTTCGCTTTGTTTTGCAAATGCTGGGGACCCACCAAAAAATTGACGTTGGGAAATGAAACAGGAATATGTACACTGAGAGAGCCCCAGAAAGTCAGACTTAGCCCCACGAGAACTAGGCTTGGCTTGAGCTTCCCCACTCCTGTTTGGGAGGAAAGGCAGCCCCAGTGGGATATTATGGGCTGCAACAGGGGGATATGTTTGCTTCTATAACAGAAATAGGCAGGCCAATCTGCATGGCCATGCAACAGAAAAACTGTCAGTGGTTTTGGCGACTACAGGACTATGCATATTTATCAACTTGCCATTCCAAAGATTCTCAGCTGGCTGTTTTCTCCACTACTTTTTTGTAACCCCTAAATGCCGCAGACGTTTTGACAGACCAGCTTTTTCACTGCTAAAATTGATGAATGTATATGCCATTTGACTTGGCAATTGGCTGCCCGCCATGTTGGAGACAGAGATGGAAGCCATGGAGAGGTGACGAGGCAACTGTTTTTAACAGCTCTGCATTGGGTTCATGCTCCCTTGTCTTCATCAATCCCCATTGTCAGGAAGGACCTCTCACCATCTGAAGATCCGCAGGGGAAAATGCCCTCTACTACCAAACTACACTGCCTGAAGCGACTCATGTTTCCATTATTTAAAAAAAATGTTTAAGAGGTCCCCAAAGGCGGGCGAGAATTTTTAAATATGCATAATGCGCTGTTTCTGTACTGTGGGAATTGATCTTGTGCTGCAATTTTCTGATGAATATCAAAGAGCGAGCAATTTTACATGATGCATTTGGTGAACTTGCTTCAACAGTTTACAACAGGGAGAGGCCACAAATGCGCCAGCTGCTGTTCTGACATGCCAATCAAATATAAAAAGCTCTAGTCTGTTTGCAAGCAACATGCCAGACCTTGGGGTGTCTTCCTTCTGCCCTTGAGGCAGCTGTGTTGGTGACTCCAAAGGCAGAAGACCACCGTTTGAGCTGTCCTGCCAAAAATCCCAGTGGGGCCTGAAGCTCTCTTTCTTGTAAGGAGAGGAAAACCTGTGTGTACTGACAGCTTCTGGGAGAGAGGAGCTTCACAAAAGCCATGGCAAGAGGTGTTGGCTTGGAGGGAGCAGTTGATGTGTCCATCAACTGGGCTATGGAGCATCCTTGAACCTTTCAGGGAACCATTCTCACTGCAGAGAGGGGGAGCTTGTGCTTTCTTTTGCTTGCTTATCTGAAACATTCATATTTCATCATGGCATTCAATAAACCGTATGCCATTTTCATGGCTTCATTCCTTCCCATGCATCCTCAGATCTGCAGTGAGGTGTCTTGGCTGGACTCTGGGAAGAACTGTCATCTGGTGCCCCAGTCCAAAACTCTACTAACCAAGTCATTCTTGCTCTATTTAGCCATGCCAAAATCCAGACCGTGTCTACTGTTCCCTATGGGCAGTTCACCTTCTCCCCTCGTGGAACAAGGAAGAAGCTGTATGTGGATCCTAGAGACTGAGCCCTGAGTTTGAGCCTAACCATAAAGCTCTATCCTACCTGTCACTGTTCCCACCTCACCTGGCTTCAGCTTCCTAACTTGTCCACGTTCTACCCTGTCTGGCCAAAGTCACCGGCTGCTTCTTAGACACTGTACCCACAAAACATGAGACCAGGGATGTCCAGCAGACTAACTTCCCATCTCGGTCTCAATGTCTATCTCAAAGCCTTTGGAGATCAGAGGAAGCCTTGTAGGTCCTTCATGAGATGCGACCACATATTACCTTACTGGCCACCATCCCTCAGTAGCATCTACCGTTCCTCAAAAGCCTTCTCCATGCCATTCCTGGGCAGAAAATGTGGCCTCTTCCAATGGCCTTCTAGAAAAGGACTCGCTCACCCAGATTTTCCCTGGCACACAATTAAATTAATCATGCTGCTTCAGTTTCTTCTGCTCCTACGCTGCTCTGTACTATTCTTAGCATCATCATCATTAAAATCAGAATTGTTTTTAAATGTGTGCTTCAAATGTGATTTTAATATTAATATTTTAAACATGATGTTCATGTAATTGGAATTGTTTTTTAAATGGTATTTTAAATATGACTTTGAAATTAATATTTTAAATGTGCTCACATTCTTATTATTGGAATTCTTTTTAAATTATGTTTTAAATATGATGTTGACATTAATATTTTAAATGCAATATTCATCATCAGCATCATAATTTCTCTTCTGTACCATGCAACGGCCGAATCTTTTCAGCCAGTTCACAGAGAACTTCACGTTGCAATGTTATTATGCTTAGCTGAATATAAATGACACAAATAGAACAGAATAACTCAGTTGACCATTCCTCCAAAGCTCCAGGTCACACATATGCTTTCTTTGGTGTTATCACAGTGGGATCTGCATGCAGAGGGAAGGGGTTTCAATTTGGAAGCCTATAGGAAGGCTTCGAAAATATGCTAGTCTGCAAAGCACAATCAACCACAAATCTTGGTCAGCACATGTACAAATTGCACAAACACATCAGCTTGACTCACCTGCCATGCTTGAGATGTTAATTAGCCTTCCTTTGGATGTCCGGAGCAATGGCAAGAATGTTTTGGACAATTCAACGGGACCAAAGAAGTTGACATCCATGCACTGCTTGTAGGAATGCATGGATAGCAATTCCCCATCTCCCACAAATCCCAGTATCCCAGCATTGTTGATCAAGCCCCAAAGATCTGGCAAGGGGGGAGAACAAAGCATATAGAAGTGTGTTAAACCATTTTTAAAAATCCCTGCAACAAGCAGGATCCTAGAATAGCAGAGCTGGAAGGGGCCAGGAAGGCCATCAGGTCCAGCTGTTGCAGAACATCAGCTTACATCTTCCCGCTCCAATGACTGTCCAGTTGCTTCCTGAATGATAAACAGGCAATAAAGGCAAGCATTTCTCCATAGCGAGATTGCTAAACAGCCTTTTGCAAGCACGCTACAGGAATGCCGCACCCTTCCGTTCATGCATTTCCCGAATCAAAAATGCCAGGTAGGAATATAGATCTCCTCCTGGAGATGTTCCAGGAGTCGCAGGCTTTCCACTGGCCCTGCTCAATAACTGGTGTGGTGTAGCGGTTAGGAATGTGGCTCTGGGGCTCAGCACCTTAGCCCAGCCTACCTCACAGGGTCGTTGTTATTGTGAGGATGAGCTCGAGAATAGAATTGTGTTAGCCTTACGAATGCCTCCAAATGTTCTGAAGATCTCTGCCTTTCAGCAACAGCCTTCCACGGCTGTGTGGGTCACCATTTTGGTTTGACCTGATGCTTGATTGCTGAGGAATAGAAGCAGCCAGGATGCAACAATCTCGCGGTAGCAATCAGACACAGATAATATCTGGTGTGCGAACGGGACGAGGGGACAGGAGACTCCAAGGTGGCATGCAACTGGGTATAACATATATCAATTTCTTGCATTCACTTAGCTGAGCAAAGTGAACGGACCCTGAGGCCAACATAAAAAAAGCCACACCTCTGCAGCCTCGTGAAATGTCCTTTCAGCGCTACAGAGAATCCTGCAGCAAGAATCAGAGAAGCACATACCTGCATGTTTCAACTTCTTTTGCACGGCGAGAAACATGTCTTTAATTTGCTCAGACTTGGTGATGTCGAGCTTCAAGAGAGAAAGTCTCTCTGAGCACGTCTTCCTCAGGTTTTCTGCTCCGGGCCCGTTCAGGTCTAAAACACTGGCAAAGACGGTGAATCCCAGCTGGTCAAGGTACTTTGCAAGTTGGTGCCCAATGCCAGAGTCAGTTCCTGGAGAAAAACCAAACCAGAATATGCATGAGACCCGGCTGTGTCCTGGAGGGGCAGGAAAGACCTGCGATTCTGAGTGCTGAATTATCAGGGACCCTGATGTAATCTGAAACCCCCTAAAAATTTCCTGTTCAGCCCAAGTTTATAATGAGAGCTTTGTGGGAATGAATAGCACAACAGCCGATAGCTGGCATATTGTCACCAGCCAGGATTTGACAATATTTATCATAGACCTGCAGAAATAATCAGTCACAGAAAGTGGAGGCAGTGTGTTGAAGTGGTTAGAGCACTGGACTTGGATGTGGGAAATGTGTGCTCTGGTTCTTGACGCTCACGGGCTGACCTCGGACCAGCCCCTTGGGACAGCTAGGCAGAAAAATGGAAATGAACCCATGTGATCTGTCCTGGGTTCCTCACAGGAAAGAGGGGAGGATATAAATGTGATGGATGGAATAAATGCAAAAGAACTCGCTGCCTCTCTGTTGTAAAGCAACATATTTCAGGGAAGCTGCTAGTCCTGTTGAAGAAGATACTGCTAGAGCTGGTTTGTTGATTTTTCCACGGGAGGTGGTTGAGGCCCCATCGGTGAGGGTGTTCAAGGCTAGGCTGGACATGCACATGGTGGGCATGTCGTGAGCAAAGCCGGCTAGAGCCGGGAGTCAGACCAGATGGCCCAGGAGACCCCTTCTGACTCACTCTATGTTTTTCTGTTGATGTGACTCTGCAAAGCAGCTTGTCTTTTGGATTCTCCCAAGGCATGGCTGTGAGCACATTATGGGCACTCTTGGTTCCAACTTTGCTGAGTAGCCGAGACCGGGGATTCTGAAAACATTACAGTAATGACAACACCCTCAAGAAAGGCATTCAGTGCATGGAAGCTAGCGGTCTTGCAGGGATGAAACAAGATTCTTGTTTGAAGTGGATCTCATGTTGGATGGTACAAAACTCTTACTAGCCTTGATCGTGTGGCTAGAGGAAATTCTTCGAGGCCAATTACCAGAAAACTGCCTCTACCACTGATCTCATTGCATCGACTTATTCACTCTTGTTCTTGTTGTCTTAAACATCAGGAGAACCCCAAGCAGTTATTTATGACAATCTTTCCATCCCGGTCCTGCAGGGTAAAATCCAGTCGCAAGTGCATCAAGTCATCCATTCTGAGCATTGCCACATGCCTGGCTGAGGCTGCATGAAATATGTTAATGGTTCCAATTAGTCCTCCAGAGAATTTATTTTCGTCTCTGGCAAAGGCTGCCTGACTGCATGGAGGTTTTTCAGGGGTTGCTCGGAATTCTCCAGGCAAAGTCAGCTTGGGAATGCTTGGAATTTCACCCCCCCCCCCCTTTTCCCTTTTGCTTTGAAAAAGTAGCAGGTTGCATTCAAGGCACTTGGTAATTTTTATTATGTAAATTTGAAACACTTGGTAGCGGGAGGCCTCTGAAGTCACAGGAAGTTTGTCCAGGGACTCTTTTTAAGAGTTACAGTATGTTTCATTGCAAAGAAAGAGAGGCAACTTTATAAGGGATTTTTTAAGGCGATGTCAAAACAATATCCAGCAGGATCAGGGTCCTGGTCACCCAGGGACCAACAAGATGCCCACAGGAAAACCCCAAGCAGGGCAGAAATGCCACAGCTCTCTCCCACCCCATCTTCCCCAGCACCACATTAATCTGGTGTGATGTGGAATAATGTAGCATGCAATATAGGACTGCTTTTAAGTCTGGGTTGTCTGAATGGCTCCCTCCTACTCACAGTGCATTCCATCTGACTTTCCTACCACACTTCAAAGGACTGTCATCTGGAAACTTTGCAGGCAGAAATTGCCCAGATTCCCTGCAGCTGTTGGAATGTGAGGACGTGATCTACTTTCTCTTTGTTTGGTACACTCGGAGCAGAGAATGCCTGTTGCTCAAAGCGTAGCTACGAACCAGGGCTTTCCTCCAAGAGGGTGACATGTATAGCTGCTGGTGACTCTACTCCAACTTCTTCAGTGAGAGAGGAGGCATCTAACACCCGAGGAGCAGCCAGGGGAATGGCTGGAACATGCTGTACATTGACTTTGCGGCATAACACAGAAAGCAGAATATGCCCCACGAATATTCACAACTCAAGATGTCAAGCAGCGTGCTCTTTTTTTGTGAATGGCTGTTGTGTCGAGAGGCCATTGAAGAATTTTCCTTCTGTCTCCCTCCACTGACCCCCCGGTCAATGTATAGCACCATCTCCCCCCCCCCCACCCCCTTTGGCGAGCTGCCGTTCAGACAAACAAGCAATTTGTATCTAGGTATTGTGCGCTCCTGTGGCATTGTGTTCTTGGCACTGTTGTGATGCAATTTATCATGAGTATTTAGTGTGGAATGTCAGGAGCAAACTTGTATTCCCTAGATCTCTTCTGTTCAGATGTGCAGAACGAACCTGATTCTGCTGCTCAGAGCATCATTTTGCAATGAAAGAAGATGAAGAAATGAAGCCCAGATAGAAACCTTAAGAAGTCACTTTGCTGTTTCCAATTCCAGCCACCTTATGCAGGCTGACTTAGGACTTTGTTCTAGCACACGGGTTGGATTGTGCTCTAACACAGAAAGGTAGAAACCTCAAGGAATTTCTGCCTGAGATAAAAGACCCTCAGTTTGCCCCAAAAATACAGTGTCAGGAAAAAGATGGAATAGGCAAATTCCTAAGAACTGACAGGATGTAAGGCAGGGAGATAGAAAGCTTTGGAAGTGACGAATTGCAGAGAGATCATTCAGTAATGTAACGTTTCCCACCCTCCTTCCAGAGATGATATTTGACTGAGATTTGTAAACGCCACAATGTTCCTTCTTACCTGTGATAAGCACTGCTTTGCGGTCCACGGGAAGCATGGTTTGAAGAGAAGTGGAAACACAGTAGATGAGGCACACCACCGAGAACAAAGTCAAGCCCAGGTAGCTTCTCAGCATTGTGAAACACAGAGTCCCCAAAGCAAAAAGCAAGATGAGGCCCCAGACAAAGGGGGTGGGTTTCTCGATCCGGCTCTTCTTGGCAGCATAAAGAATCGTTCCCCCATAGAGCACAGTTGCTCCCATGTAGACCAACAAGGAGTTATCTGCTTCGGAGTTGGGCAGGCCCATGATCTCAGCTGGACGACAGGCAGGACGGCACAGCAAAGGCACTGCAAAAAGAGCAGGACCCAAAAAGCTGAAGACACACGTCAACAATTCCTAGCCGAGCTGTGAATGCATGGCTTCCTATAAGAGAATGCAGCTTATATAGGAACGGGACAGAGGGAGGAGGTGGGGAGGTCACAAAGGGGTCAGTGCCAATTGAGGCTGGGAGAGATATTTAATGCCTCCAAACAGTGAAGAGTGTGGTGTGTGTATGTGTGTGTGTGTGCGCGCATGCATGTGCTGTGCACAGTGGCTTGCTTCAGCCGCTTGCTAGAAAAGATATAACTTTTGGACACCTTCCTATCACCTCTTTGTGTATTACTTGAATCAAAAAAAATGCAGGAGGACTCTACCTTCTGAGGGACACCCAGCTTGGGTAATGATTGACAGAGCCAGAAGTAAACATGAAGCAACAAGCAATTCTCTGGGAGGCAGGAACTATTGCATAATTAACATTTTTGCAGAAGTTGTCACTCTTAAAAGGAAAGACAGAGAAACAACATGCTTCCACCATGGTAGAGGTGTCTCTCTGCCCCCACTGCCTTTTGATGTTTCCTCTTCCCACTGTGATTCCTTAATAAGTACAATGCCTGTCCTTTCATCAGCTTGTTCTAAGGCATGACTGCATCACTTAATTAGCAAGTTTAATGTCCCCTCCAATACTGAGCCCATTTGTCTGAGAGAATCCTAGCCATCTTGCTTCAGTTTCATGAGCAAATGAGATCAGCATTGCAGAAAGTGGGCAAAGAGATGATTCCCTTCCTGTTTTTTAATCCTACAACATGGCAGGTAAACTGTGGGGCAGACGCCTTAGGATAAGACAGGAGAAAGAAGGAGAATCCATCACAGGGTAGATGCTTCATTTCTGAAATTTGCTACCTTGAGATGAAGTGCAGACCACCTATTGGGTGAGCAAAACGGTCAGGCTTGGACATTTTTCCAGGTGTGCATCCATCTGCCGACCACAGTGTGTTTTTTGTCTGCATCTTAGAAACCTGCACACTTTTCTGGTGTGTTGTGCATTTTTCAAAAGTGCCCAGGCTGTTGTCTTGTGGAAACCAACACAAACAGAAAAATCTGTCAGTTTCAAATTGTAAATGGTATTTGGGTCTGAAAGGTGTGGCAGAACTACGTTCTCACCCATCCTAAGCCACCAGTTTGATGGTTTAAAAAATATGTTAGATAAATTCATGGAGAAAGGCTATCCATAGCTACTGGGGATTTCATGCAACTTTCAGACTGACGGTTGGTGCGCAACTTTGGTTCCAGTCAAGTACCAATACAAGAGTAGGGATTGTTGTTTGATAAGAACTTACCAACATCTGCATTTCTTTCAGACCTAGAATCTTTGCTTTGCTTTGCTTTGCTTTGCTTTGCTTTGCTTTGCTTCGCTTCGCTTCGCTTCGCTTCGCTTCGCTTATGAATGAGGAAGAAACCAAAACAGACAGATCAAACCATTCGGGCACAGAGCATTGAGTGCTTAGTGCTTAAGAAAGCCTTCCAGTGGCCCTCAACATCAACTGAAAGGGACACAGAACCATGGAGAGTCCCGCAGTGTAGGTCATAAACCAAGCTTTGTAAACATATTGCCCACCTCACCCTGCCCACTCACATGGGAAGAACCAAGCCAGCTGCGTCTGCAAGGCCAGGAAACTGACCTTCAAGGTTAGCAGGGAGAGAAGGGGAGAAGACTGGCATTACGGAGATGCCGGGGTCCTGACGGCAGCGCACCCTCCTCCCCTCCCATCCAAAGCATGAGTGGAGCCAGCTGAAGCTGGGGGTCAGACTGGATGGCCCAGGAGGCCCCTTCTGACTGCTCAGTTCCTATGTTTCCAAAGCACCTGCACAGGATGGCTGAAAACCTCTCCACCACACCTTGCACCATGCATTGAGTGTATGCAGGATTCTGAGTTTGGGAACTTATGCGCTTCAAGGGTGCAATGGATTGGTTTGTGCACCAGAAGTCTTACTTTGAATCCCTCTGCATTAAGTGATGGATTTGGTGTTTGTTTTCCCCTGCCCTGCCCTGCCCTGCCCTGCCCTTTTCAGCTCCTAAAATTGAAGATGTTTCTCCCACATACATTTTTTTTCAACAATGCTCATTCCACCTCATACCACAAAAATTGCTTTTGAAAAGAAATGGAAGGAAAGGGAATTTAGAGGTATTGTTTGGGATGGATTAGGGTTCTTGTGTTTACCTTGCTCATGAGATGTCTAAGGGATCACGCAAATGTTCTGTCCTTCACTGACAGCTGGTGACCTCTTTGGCTTCTCACTGTTCAGTTGAAGTCCAAAGGAAAACATATGAGGAAATTCCTCCTTTTGGGCTTTTGTCAGATTAGGTGACTCAGGCAGAGCAGAGACATGGAGAGACATAGAACAAAGAAACATACAAAATACCCTCAGCTCTGTCTCAGCCTGCCTTTGGGTTAGCTCACCACAAAATAAGTTCAAATTCAAGTCTGATTTGCCCTGAGAATGAAGCCAGAAAAATAATAAAACCCTATTTCCCGGGGAAAACACTCCTGAGAAATTGGAGGACAAAGTTTGGCAGAGCACTAAACTTAGTTGCTTCCCTGGAGTTGAACACAGCAATGTTCTGCTCACGCTTGCAGTGTGTCAGGTGCGAAATCAGAATGGTGTTGGCAATATGGTTGATACTACGATTGTAGTTCATCCCCTGTCAATGGTGGGCCCAGTATTTAAGAAGCTGATGGACACTTTCTCCTCCACCTGGAGAACATCTGGGCAATTGTTCTCCTAGTTTCTCTGTCCAGAGATATAGCAAAGAATTCCAAGAGGTGATTTGGATAAAGTTCTGCCTTGGAGAGCAAGGAACAACACGGTCGTCTTCGGGATGGAAATAGAGGCACCTTCCAGATTTTCCTTGGGCAACTGTGTCAGAATTCTCAGTTGTGCACGAGTGAATAAGAACTGACCAGAATTCACAAATTCATAAATGGGATGGGTAAAGACTGAGATATAAAGGCTGAGATTCCTATGCCCAACGTAGGAAAAAAGAAGGAACAGATTTGTTGTTCTCAATTTTAGGTGTGTATGGTGGGGATTATGCATGTGCCTGAATGCAGAGAGGTACATGCACACACATGTGTAGCCCTCCACCCTGAGAGACACCTGGTGTGCCCTCCAGGGCCAAAACTCTATGTGCCTAATTACAGCCTCAGACAGCTGGAAGCCCAAATATCTCCACCCAAACCAACCTGCTTGTGCATTAAGATCTTTCACGCAGACCCTCCTCTGCGCCTCTTCTCTAAGAAAAGCACTTTATGAACATGCCAAAGAAACAATTTGTGCTTAGAATATGACCTTTGTTCCATATTACTCAGAAGGAAGGGGCTCCTCAGAGAGGCTCCAAAAAGACATTCCAAGGTTTCAGCTACCAAACACCATACTTCAGCGCCAGGCACCGTAGATGAGAAAGGTGACGCTTTAGAAAGAACGTTCAAAAGGCATGCAAACATGGCTTCTGCTCTGACTAGTTAATTCTGTTACTTCTTGGCTGGATCCCTGAGTCATTTGGGGCCAGATTCTCCCCCTGCCTCCTCTACCCTCTCCTCCTGTCCACGCACCCGGCCTCATCCTGGTTCCATCTGCAGTTCTCCAACCCTGCACTGTTCTTTCTGTGAGAGATAATTATAGGACACCAGTACACAGATCCGTTTTGTACTCACTGCTGAAGCTGAAGCATGTCAGTTCACCCAGATTTGCCGGAGTGATGGATTTTTTTTCCTTCCATTTACATCCTGCCTTTTTCCTACCAAGGGCGCAAGGCAGCTTACATCATTCTCCTCCTCCATCTTATCCCCACAACAACAAACAACCCTGTGAGGTGGGTTGGGCTGAGAGATTCCCTGCTGCCCATCCCTACAGTGGCTAACCGGGGCTGGTCCAACCCCGAGGCAGAGTGAGACGGCTGATTTGGGGTCCACAAAAAGCCACTTTTAGTTCTACCAGTGATCCATGCAGCAATAACATTAACAGGAGTGAGTCCAAGGCACCATGGTGGAGCCCATGCATAAGCTTGCCAGGACAACCCCTGAGGTTGCCAGATGGGGCTGGAAAAACTCCTACCGAAACCCCGGAGAGCGGCTGCCAGTCAGTGTTGGTGATACTGGCCTAGAGCTGTAATGCTGTGTCTCAGAATAAGCTCGTTCGAGGTGCTGCTCTCCAGGGACAGGGAGACATACCTGTGGGATTTCAATGCCTGGCACTGAAGGGCTTTGCCCAGTGACCTAGGCTTGTGCAGGTGATATTTGTGTCATGAAGAGCCTAGCAAGTCCGCGCCAAAGGAGGCTTCCAACACAGACAGGAGATCTTGTAACTCTGCCTCTGCCAGCCAAATATCTCAGGCTCAGTGCTACTTCCAGAATGTCTCTGAGTTCCAGCTGCTGGAAAAGTGCCCACAAGGAAAAAAAAGTCTTTCCAGGTGCTCTTTGTGGGCTTCCAGTACCTATCTGGCCACTAACTGGGCTGCACTGGGTATGTACATTCATATACTTCATTTCTCTGCCACCCCAAACTCCCTAGACAGATCACAATGATCAAAACCATAAAATACAGATTGACAAAAGCAGTACAGAAGTTTACAACTATGGTATAAAATAAAAATAGAAGCCAAGAGAAATTCTAGGAATAGTGCAAAGGTTTAAAGCACAGTAGCAGATTTAAAACCACAGGAACGTAAATGCTAAAATGACTTTGAATATAAGAAAGTCTTTGCCTCATTCCTGAAAATCTCAACAGGCAACCTCAGTGGGAAGCTTATTCCACAACCAGGGTGCCCAGCAAAAAGTGGTTGATGTCTAGGGATACATGGAAAAAGTATTTTCAGTTGGATTTTGGTCACCCCTTGGGATCAGAACCACCCTTGATCTAAGTCTGGGCTGCACTGAGAATATTTCTGATCTTGCAATATAATTCATGGACTGCATCCCTTTGTGTTG